GCCCTGAGCATGTAAAATTTGAAAGCGGTTTACCAGATAATTTGTATTGGTCCCTTTGTCTTTGCTGGTACTTTTATTCTTCAATAAATTCCTTCAACCATTAAACAACGTTACTCCCACAACAACTTTGGTAGAGATCAAAAGAGTGTGTGGCAGGTTTGTTCCAAGTTTCTACTGCTCCCCTCCAGGTATTGAAGAGCTAGATGGAGAAAAAAGATGGTATTCTTTCCTTTGCTGTCTTCTAAAGGATTTTGTCCTGGATTTCCACATAGTCAATGAAAGTATTTTTAAAAATAATTAAGGTGGATTTTGGGGGGTGGGGGGATTGGAAAGATTAATTTCAATTCAGTACTTAAGTCATTGTGCTTTTGCTGAAATAATGATGACATTCATTGATAGCACTGCCTCACCTTCTTAAAAAGAACCTGTACAGATAGGAAAACCAGAATAATTATGAATTAAACTACTGTCTGCTCTCAGCAGATCTCTGGTTACACAAGTGGTGAGGAGATATATTTTGAGATATATACCTCTATATATCTATGTATACAGGCTTGCAACCCCCCAGTCCAGTGACCTGGAGAGAGAAGCTGGATGCCTCACAACTTTGTGCACGAGGTGAACAGTGCTGCACAGCTCACCTCAACAAGACAGTGTTTCTTCAAGGAATCCAGAAATCCCCCAAAGAGGTGGTTGGTTTGGGGTCTACTTGGTAGAACTGGAATCCCAGCAAGCTAAGCCCATCTGCACTCTCATCAGCTGTTGAAACTTGCTACAACCAATAGAATAGACCTTAAAATCTTATCCTTGCAAGGACTGCATGTGCACTAGGTTATACTGGAATCTACGTAAGTTTATAAGAAAAAATCAAGCAGGCAAATAAAGGAGAATCAGATATTATTTCATACCCAACACTGAATTCAACCTTTGTAAAGAGGAAAACTCTCAGGAGGCTTCAGGGGAAAGGAGGACACTCAGATGAGGTTGAAGAAGCCCACAGGGGAAGCTGCCTATTTCATTTCTGGAACGTGGACCATGTGCATCTATTTTTAATTTTGAACAAAGTTCCTCTGCCTCCTGCCAGAAGTCCTGAGCCCTGTGCTGGTGCAATGAGAGCAGTAGCCCAGTCATCCCCTAATAGCTATTACTTCTTAATAAAGAGCAGTACTTAAGCAAGGGATGAGGTTACTGTCGGAGGGGTCATGATTAATAATGATTAATCTGATCCTTGCCAACATGAACTGGATCCACCATTCACTAAATAATTACTCTGCAGCATGGATACCGTTTCCAGAGGAGGCGTACATTTGTCATATTAAAACTAAAACCAAACACATGGAAGGACAGGAGGATCTGACTTCTCAGTAAAACTTGAGCTCACACGAGCCACCAGAAAAGTTAAGCAAAGAGAAAAAAAAAAAAAATTAAAGGGTAAGAGCAGTTAAACATTGATGATTCACCTTCCTTTTGAGAGAAGCAATGGAAAACAAATAAAACTAAACCCTGAGAAGACAGAGTTGCACGTGCAGAGAATATGGAGTGCTCTGCTACTTCTGGTTCTCAACCTTATTCATATCTCTAATATGCACATTATTTTTCCACCCACACATTTTTCCCCTATTTTTAATGACATTTTGCTTTCCTCAGAAAGTACACAAATGAAATCACTCCCCAGGAACCATCTTTCTTGCTTTATGTTAATATACTACTTAGCACAAGGAAATCCTAGTCCAGGGTTGCCATTCTTATGCAACAATGCACCTCAAATAATAAGCAACTGTATAATAATTTATGGGGAGGCATAAATTACTGGGAAACTAATAACCACTCTGAAGAGCATATCTGAACCATACAATTACAATAGGATGTTTGTGGTGCAGAGTCTTGGTTCTGGGCCTTGAAGCACAGATTAATTTCTCTGCCACAAAGCACACAAACAGCTGGCAGTGGTGCCAACGGCAGACAAGGACATGAGGGTTTTGCTGCCAAGAGGTGGCCTTATTCTGGGAGTCCTCTCAGTCATCCTGCTTCACTGACCCAAAGCTTCATCGAGACCACCCATGGAGGATGGGACTCCAGTTCTTCAGTGCACTCATATGTTCTCCCTTTGAGGTATTCAAAGCTTTTGTGGGATTTATATCGCACTGTTTAGCAATAGGTGGAAGACATCATGTTGTAGGGTTTGATTAGGACTAGAAGGCCACACAACATAAACCACCAGTCTCTCTCCTGCTCTGGTGCAAATCCAACATGAAGGTTGGGTTCCTTGTGATTGTTGTGAAATCCCATCCCCGTGTGAGCTTGTTTGGACTTCTGCCCTTGACAGTGACAGGGCCAGGATTTACACACTGGTGACTTGCACCACAGAAAATACCATGCAGATATGTGCCTTTGGATGCCAGACTTAGAGAAGCAAATCTCAGGTCAGGGAGGTTAAAGTGCCTTCTCTTCTAGAGGCATACTGAAGAAATGCCAGTAAATCAAATCTTCAGCAATGGGGTCCTGATTTGCTTCAGCTGGGGATTCTCACTGGTGGGGCAGTGTGTCTAAGACTGTGCAAGTTTCCAAATTGACTTGAAAGAATAAAAAAAAATTAAAATCTTTGCAAAACATCACCTTTCTCAAAAATTCAGCCAAGAAGTAGCTGGCAAGTCCCAAACCTTTAAATACTTAATGGTATAAAAGCCACGTACCTATTTATGCATAGATTAATGAAAATGAAAACTAAGTTGCATTTGTACACAACTTTACAGAGGCATCACAGGAAAACACAAAGCAAGACTGAAAAAAGGGGGAAAAAAAGCCCCCAACAACAATAATGAGAGTAAATCTTTAAAATCTGAGACAGGGTGCGGGAGGAGGGGGTAAAGCTCTGTAAACAAAACTAAATCCAGTGCAGTGTTTTTCCCCTTCACAAAGCGAAACAAGCTGTTCCTAAAATAATGCTTCCTTGGTTTTCTGGCAATTAGTGTCCTGAAGGATTAGCCTACAATTGTCGGCAAGTGTTTGCCTTTCCCAGCCGATGTCACCATAGAAGTCTGTGTTTATCTACAAGGCCCATGAGATAATTTATAAGCTGAGCTGAGGTCCTGAATTCACAGACAAATCTTCCACACTGCCACCCACCCTCCTGTACTAGTTTCCTCCCCATCCACCTCCTGTCCCCTGAAACACTCACAGAATCCTGCCAGGGGCACGATGTATGAACTTTACAGACTCTGGAACAAGCACCTGCCCAATAGTTTACGCTATTACAGCAAAAACGTTACTGAGATGGTCAACACATCACTAGACATCAAAAATTAGATTTCAGAAAGTAATCAAATACAAATAATAATTTATCACTGTTCCAGAAAGCATACAAGAGAATGGGATATTTTTTTTTCCTTCCAAAAACTATTGCCTACTCTCTAATTAAAGTATTGCCACCAATGAGTTTTAGGTCCAACACTCAGCATTTGTTAGAGATAGTGTTTTGTAAAGCCCGTCTGCAATCAAGATGTTCACATTTCATTTTTAATCTCTACTACAAGTGGTCTGATGCTGCTCTAATCCTGTTGTAAATCAAGAGTGATTCAACCAGAGTATATCAAAATAAAAAAGACTAAAATTGGTAAAAGTGTTTCATTTCTAATTTAATTTTCTCTTGAAGTGTTAGAAACTCAACATGAGAAAATTAAACTTGTGTTTGAGAGAATGGGAAGCTATTATTTGAAGAAAAGTAATATGAATCCTTGTCTCAATGGTGAACTGATAGGATAGCTCATGACAATGAATTTGTTATTTTGACAATACTAATTAAAGAAAAAAAAAACTCCAACATCAATGAAAGACTCAATCCTACAACACATTCATAACGTGACCGATGTTTCTCACAACAGACCCCACCACAGGATAGACAGATTTGTTTTGAGATCTTCTCAGAAATTAACCAAACAAGGCTCAGAGACATTATTATTAATAAGGGTTGATGAACAGGCATGCTGAAAATGAAAAACATTTTTCTTCCCGGGAATTCATCTCTTTTCCCATTAGTAAATTATCAGAAGTTCCATGAGCTTTGTGGACACTGTTTGAATCTGCTCAGGTCTGTATCTGGTTACAGATTGTTCACAAGGTACATTAGAGAGCAAAGTTATTGGATATATGAGATTGACTGCTACACTCTACCACATTTAATAGCGGATGACCCAATATTTATAAAATGTTTCTGCTCAAATCAAATTTTGTTTCCTCTTTGGAAAGAATGATCTCTGGATTCAAACTTTTCCTTAGCTACGAATCTGGAAGGGCATAGTAAGTGACAATTTTGACAGGGACAAACTTGGCTGGTCTAAATAAGTACAAAATGGTAGGAGGTAGGAAGAGACCACCAGCTGGCTGTCATTCAGAGCACAGTCCACCTCACTTGCAATTACTGAACCTCACAAGTGGTCCCACTGACGTCAATTTGACCAATTTTAGAATAAGGGGCCATTCATTTCAAGTAATGAATATTGAAACCTGGCCATCGGTTTGTGAACAAGTTTCTACATATCTATCATGAGGAACCTCAACAAAGAATGTTCTCGTGATGGTGTCACTTCAGAACAAAAGCATTCAACAAATGGCACGTTTCCCTGTAACTATCACACATCCAGGCAGCTACAGTATGAGACCAAAGGTTGCATGCATTTAGCCATGAAGGAAGTGCAATATTCTTTAAGAAAGGCATTCCCTGGAGTGGATTTTTATAAAGAAACAGAATTCATGAATAAATAAACCAGATGGAAATAAGTCAGGCTAGGGCATTAACAGCTCCTAGTGCAATGAATCCTTGGATCTTGCTTGAGGGTTTTTCTACAAATAACAAACACAAAAACATTAATGTTGTACCCTTGTCAGCCGTGTCAAGGACTCTGCTGGTGTCCAGGAACCCAGATATGGAACAGCACTGTTCAAATCAACCAGATGTTAACACATTTTTTTATTTCCACCAGTTAATGTACATATTGACTGACCTGATCTGAGTCTTTCACTTGAGCATTTTTCCCTTTTCTGCAACCACAACTCATGAGCAGTTTTGCATCTCCAATGACTTTTCCCTATAAGAGATAAGGCAAGAAAAACATCAACACAATCTGAACCACTGAAGAGCAAGAGGCTTGTATTTATGACCAGAAACAGGGAAAGAAAGGGCATTAGGGAAGCCTGTGGACTCATCCTGCATTGATGGGAGATACCCTTCCACAGAGCAGTAGCTTCCAAGCTGACAAGGAGACTTCCCCAAAGGACAATATCACAGAATCTGGGGTGTCACACAGACAGGGGCAGAAGGAAAGCAAGGTGTGTTGAAAAACACAGTAGGAATACAGGCAAGGCAAGCTGAAAAGGAACAGGTTATTTTAACCCAATGTTTTCATACACATACATGAACAGGACAAGTTTATCATGCTCAGAGAGTACTATTACCAAACTGGATGCACCAAGCTTGAGGTAAAGCTTATATACCAGCATTTCTGTTCACCCTTATCAAGTTAGTGTTTACTTGCTGCTAGTTTAGCTAGATTTGGTGAAATAAAGTCTACAGGTATGAATTGGCCTCATTAGGACAACTAGTCCATATAAGCACTGTCAAGTCCTTGTCAGAAATTCAACAGCCCTTCCTAATCCAACACTGCTGGTGTAGGCCCTACAATGTTGATATCATGCTAGGGCCAACAGATTTACAAAGAAACAGAGTCCCCTCACCCTCCTTTTGCCTACAACCAACAGTTTAGGAAGTAAGCTGAGCTCAAATACCTTCTATTCATAGACAACCCACCAGACTGACTGAGCATGATCCAAGCCTCAAGGTCCCTTGTGTTGACAGGTTTATTTTCTGAGGATTATTTGAGTCACTTTGGTTTTTCAACAAAGTATTTTTGGAGCTTATCAGACATGGATGTCTTGATAAATCACCATGGCAGAAAGGGCCTGGCATTCCAGGTTTGGTCAAAATGCTCCTTGAGCTCAACAGTAACATGGCCAATTAAGTCCTCACAAGCCCATCACAGTTACTTGCTTTCCTACAGACACACACACAAAGACATTGCCTTTTTTTCAGACTTCTGCTGTCCACAGCTGAAAAATAAACACTCTCAGCATCTGCTGGGTAACAAAGGGAGAATCTGCTTGTGTGCAACCATGGAGAGTCACGAAACTTCAGCTAGATGAATTTATATGGAAAAGGAGAACTCAACATTAAAGCAGTTAATGAGTTTAGCCAAGTGGAAGCTCTCTGTCCTAAATGATGAGGAAGGGAAAACGCACGATTAAAAGGAATTGCAGTCATTGCTCAATACAGGGCACAGCAGAGAGATGACCCTCAGCAGCAGGAATTACAAACAAGCAGATAAACTTCAGGTCAGCTCATGTCAGCCTTCAACCTGCCAGGTGTGGTAAGATCTCTTACTTGGTGACCCTAGCATCTCACAAGTCCCAGCAAGGTCAGATAACGTGCAAAAATTATCTTTTCTCCTCTTTCCAAAAGAGACACTGAAAAAAAAAAGACACTGAAAAGGTTGTACCTACAGCTGATGCCTAACCAAAATGCCTGATGTTTGCGCTGCTGCTTGAAACCTGTCAGACTTTGAGGCTTTCTGGAGACTAGTTCCAACCGGCATCTTCTGCCCATGACTCCCATCTATCACAGGTATTTTGCTCTTGCCCCATGACTACAGTCCTTCAACAGTTAGTCTGTAATCTCTTAAATTCAAAAACCATTTCCCAGAAAGAAGTGATTAAAATAAAATGTAAAGCAATTGTATTAAATTATTATGATAGAGATAGGAGATTGAGGCACAGCGAGAGACTTGTCTGTCTAACCAAAGGAAAATTTCTAGACACCCCACAGTATATGAGATGAGTTAGAGATATAAAAGGACCTAAGGGAGACCCACACATTTCCTAACAGGCAGCTGATGAACAGCCAGGATACCTTACAGTGCCTACAGCAGCAACATATACCTGTGCTTAGGAAACTGGATCTACACATAACTTGCTGGTGGTCAACTTGTCCCAGTATCTACTGGAAAGTCATTATAGTGAAAAAGATACTCCAGCCCTTTTTGCACCACAAACCAAGGAAAGCCTCCCACTTTTAGACCTTCCTCTGGATTCCAGGATATACTGTCATGCAACCTCAGCTCATGGCAAGCCATGGCCATGTTCTCGTCTGGCCGGAAATATCACCAGCTTTATTTAAGACAGAAATTGCAAGATATTACCCATAAGCACCTGTAAAATCAAGAGCAGAAGACGAATATGAACCCAAAAGTTGAGAGGTGCTTCTTTTTCCCTGACAGTACAAGAACGAGGGGGTATTTCCATTCCCTAGAAAAGCAAATTAAAGCAATGCACTGGATAAATAATCCCATCTCCTCTTCCAACTGCAGATGCAGATTTCCTAATGCACATCGCCTGAATTAGCTAATACCTCCACCTTTTTTTAGGAAAGCTTATTATGAGCAGATGCTTAATTTGGGGATAGGTGTCTAACATTAGGCAGCTAAATTGAACGGCAAAAAAAAAAAAAAAAAAAAAAAAAAAGCATATGGACAACATTTGCAGCCAGTCGCAACTCCATTCAAGAGCAGATGGAGGCCTTGTCATTCAGGGGTTTCCTCGCGTACACCAAGCAGTTCAGTGGGGATAGGGAAAGGGGCTTCTGTTTGGATGCTTCTGTCTGGAACCAGATTAGAAGAAAGCACGCTTTTCCGCAGCACACGCCTTGTGTTACATTAAACATGCATATGCAACTTCAGCTTTTATTCAGTGATCTGAAACAGAGCCCTCCAGGGTGCTAAGGGTCAGTGGGTTTTTGTTTGTTTATCTGTATGTTATTTTACAGTTTCTAGTGCCCAAGGAGTTTGTTAAGAAATTAAAACACCTCGCTGGGGATATCCTGCTCTGGTTGTTGCCTCCTAATATATCCCTCCCTCCTTTGTCCAGCAGTGCCTGATGCTTACAGGGAACGCTGAAAAGAGAGGAGCCTCATCTCACTGGGTACTATAGAAGTTTGGTCTTAATTTATGGACCGTCATTTCCATGTTTCATGGGGGTTTAGTAACAGGATTGGGGAGGAACACAGTGATCTTGAAAGTTCACAAATGTATTGCTACTAAATGATCCTGTGTTTTATGCTCTTGGTGTGATGTTCTGGTTGAGAAACAGGAAGGCACAAGGACTTCCAATGGAGGAGCTCATTTTGCCTTCTGGGGGCTCCCACCCATCGTCAGACATCCCCCTTCCCAAGGCGAAGAGCAAGAAGGCTCTTCAGCGAGCACCAAAGAGCAAAGAACATATGTCCCATTATCCCACCTCTTAGAGGGAATCTCACTGGCCTCACCCTCCTCCTTGCACCACGGGTTCCAGCATTTGGCCAAAGTTTGCAGAAAAAAGAAGAAAAATAATAACAGTAACAGGCTTAATTATCTCAGCTGCATGGGTGACAGGAGCTGATCAGTTGCCAGTTTTAACAGCCTGTGGTCGAGAAACACCAAACTGCGTCACCCAGAAGTCAAATGAGGGCCAGTCACAACTCACTTCACGCCAGCAGCTCCAAGGGGAGGTGCAGGGGGGAAAAGACAAATTCCTGCTGCCGGGGCAGCCCCGGAGGCCGCAGCAAGCCCCAGCACTGTCACACTTCCCAGAGCGGTCCCGTGCAGAGCTGCCAGCCCCCTTTAAAGAAGTCGGACGTGACACACATGGCACCGGCCAGGCTCCGTGCTCCGGAGGAGCTGGCTGGGATTAACCGGAGGAACCCGTCTCCCGCCTGCTCTCCCAAATCTACGGATGAAAAGATCTGCTTTGAGGGGTGGGCTCAACTTGGCAGCACCGTGCCATGCACCTTGCAGCCACTGGCAGGTCTAGCTGGGCTCTGACCTGCTCGGTGCCCGTCAACCTTCCTTGGGTTTGAGCAACAGCCATCGAAAATACTGACGGTAGCCTCACCCCCAAGAAGCTGGCACAACCCATCTCCACTTGGCCCCTGGAAGGTCTCACTGGCCAAACCTGGCTTTGGCTTTCAGTTGTTTGTGCTCTCTCCATCTCTCCTGCCTTGCAATACCCTCAAATATCCCCCACCAACAGGTGAAAAAGTGAGGTGCAGAAAGGGTAACAGCCTTGGCCCATGACAGCCTGGGGAAGAGCATAGCTTCCAGCATGGCCTTCCTAAGCCTTTTATCAGCGTTTCAGCTGCTGAAGCAGCCTGGCTCTTCACGGAGAAGTGCTTTTCTGAAAGAGCTGTGTGAAGCTGAGCTGAGCAGTACTTCACAGCCTCTTCCCTTTTCTTCCTCTCCTGTCTTACACCACCAAAATAGCTCTTCAGCATGATACCCACATAAACACAGTGCTCATGCCTGCTCAGGACTGACAAGCATGTAGGGAGGCAATACCATCCTTCTCTGACTCCTTCTTCATCCATCAATATATCCCAATATTTCCAAGACCGCAGAGCACATTTGCAGCCACCTCCCCTGACATCCTGCACCAGGCAGTCTGTGCAATTCTGTCTGCTGTCCCGCCACTGAGATTAATAGTTATTTTTAAATAAAATCAGTACTGTTTTTCACTATGGGCTACTTAGTAACAAGCAAGAGGAACACTTTGGGTTTTATTTTTTTTTTTTCCCTCTAGGGCCCTAGTTCAGGTTTTCACCAAGAAGAGAACGTGTATACCACTGCAACAGTGAACCCTAAAAGAAAAGTCCCCATGGGTGCATAAACGACATAGGGAAGAGCAACATACTTGGTGTTTATGTTTTTTATGCTGTTCTGTCAGGGTGATCCACGCATCTTGAAGAACCAGTGCCCAAGTGCCTACAGTGGTAGAGTGGGAGAGGAGACGGGGGGAAATGAAGGGAAACAAGAACTGAATCCAAGGTGGAGGCAAGCGGCGGTACAACAGACAGCTGGTGTTTGGGTGGTGGTAAATCACCCTGAAATGAGCCTCTTCCCTCAGCTCAATGAGGCCTAAACAACAAAGGAAGGCACAGCTTGCAGCCGGACAGCCTGCTAGCCAACCACAGACACACATGACAGCTTCATTCAGGAGCCCGGAGTCA